TAAGTTGCTTTCAAAAATAAAATAAGTACATATATTCTGAATATTTTTCTTTAGAAACCACTTCACTTGATTTTGGAATTTCAAATTAATTATGAAATGCTAAATTTTCAAAAGCCAATAATTAGAATGAGAAACTTAAAATACTGAATTATACTGCTTACTCAGTCTCTACTTTCCGCTTTCTGGAAGGAAATATTGTTTCTACTTCATTCCGAAAATGAAGAAAACATTTAACTCATTTCTAGTTAATCTTTCTGTAAAACAAGTTAAAAAGTAAGATGACTACTACTTTTGGATTTTTCTGACAAATGCAGGTGCATTAATAGTGTCAGTTCACTGATGGATTTTTCTTAAAATATAAAATATTCTGTGATCCTGCTATCTTGAAACTGCTATTAATATTTGTAAACTTTGCTAACTGTATATTGTTTATGCACTTATAAGTTACATATCCATATGTATATGTGTACCTATATACAGATTTACATAGGTACACATGTATTACACACAAAAATGGATTCATACTCAAATTTTGTTATATAACCTCTTTTCACATAATGCTGTGTTGTAACATCTTCTATAAGCACAGATTAATTTTCATAGATTTTGCCTTGTCTCTTAAAGTTTTGTTATTTGATTTTATGGAGCGATTATTCCTAGGGCTAATGTTTTGTGAGTTAGGGGTTGACCCTAGTAACTACTATCGAATAAAGACAAGAAACATAAAGATATATTTGTCCTAGAATATAAGTTCCATGGGAATAGTAACATGGTCTGTTTTGTTTATTGCCCTATGCTGAGAACAGTGGCTCATTGGAGATGACTAAGAAATACTTGTTGAATAAATGAATGACATTCTCTAACATGAATATCCTAAAGGTTCATTTTTAAGTTTATTGATTAGAACTTAGAAGACATTTTCCTGGAGAAAATAATTACAAAGAATAGCTAGCTATCCTGAAAATGTAATTTATATTTATTTGAAATGTCAAATTTTTGCTGTTTTTTTCCATTAAGTAGGGACACATTTTTTTATTAAACATTACCTGTTTGAACTGTTCCGGTTTTGCAGCAATTACCAGGTGGAAAATAATAACAACAAATACTATTAACCATAAGAATACTCTAAATAATAAATATATTTGTCTGAGGGTAACTCCCCCACCCCACCCCGGAAAAAAGCCAATAGGATTAGAAATCAACCTCATGAAAACTTCCATGTCTTAGGATGAAAATTACAACACTTTCTTGAAAAAGACTGTAGAAAACAGTCAAGTCTTCTGTTTCCAGCTGGGCTAGGAAGACGTAATTATAAAGGTATTGATTTAATTGGTTACCTTAATTGGTTGTAGCATTAACTACAACTCATGCATTTTCCTGTCCACATTAGCTTAGGACAGAACAGTAAAAGACATTAGAGTATAGATCAGAGTGATAAGGGAAAATAATCTTAAACCTTTCACCTCTTTTCAATAAATTGGATTCTAGTCTCTGCTTTCTCCCTGTGCCTCCAAATCTCTTCTCTGGCAAAATCATCTGCTCTCCTTGGTGATAGTATTGGTGCCATTCACTGTTGTAGTGCTTGGTGATTTTTTTTTTTTTTTAATCAGTAGCTTTTTTCTAACTTACATCTAGTATGCTTACTAATTGCTTACTAAATGCTTACTTACATTTGAAAGTGCATATCCAGGTAATCACAGTAAATCTAAACAGTATGCATTGTTTATAGTACTGATATTATTATGCTCTTCAATTATCACAGTCTGTAGTGTCACAGGAGCACTGATGAAGCACAAATTCAGGGATCCTAAAAAAATGTTGAAGGGGCAGTCAGCCTTCCATGGGCTTAAGTCAAGGTCAAATAGAAGATTAGGGCCAGATACTAAAGCCAAGTAGAACTTATGCACATCTCTACTAAGAATACAGAGATGAAGGGCGCCTGGGTGGCTCAGTCAGTTAAGCGTCTGCCTTCGGCTCAGGTCATGATTGTGGGGACCTGGCTTCGAGCCTGCTTCTCTCTCTCCCTCTGCCCTTCTCCCCCACTAGTGCTCGCTAACTCTTTCTCTCAAATGAATAAATAAAATACTCTTTAAAAATTAAAAAAAAAAAAAAAAGAATGCAGAGATGAATGAGGTAGTTTCCCGCCTCCAAGAAGCTTTAAGGATTTTAGAGGAAGATGGAAGATAAATACAGTTGACCCTTGAACAGTGTGGGTAGTTAGGGGCGCTAACTCCTTGCACAGTCAAAAATCCATGTATAAGTTTTATCTCTCCCAAAATGTAACTACAAATAGCCTTCCCCAAAAAACTTAACTACTAATAGCCTACTTTTGACTGGAAGCCTTACCGGTAACTAATAACACATATTTTGTATATGTTTTATATACTGTATTCTTACAATAAAGAGAAAAGAAAATGGTATTAAGAAAATCTAAAGAGAAAATAACATTTACAGTACTGTATTGTGCAATCTAAGTAGTAAGTAAATAAATAGTACAGGATTCATCTCTCTGGGACCTACATGACGTGGTCTACCAGAAATTTCTTGTTCAATACTGTAATTCTGTGGGGTATGACTGATAAAAAGAGCCTTCCTCTGAGTAGACAAGAAGATAGGCAGTTCAGATGCTGAAACTCATAAGAACTTTGGAAGTTACAGCTTTTAGCTAAGCAATGTTTTAAGAGATCCCATAGTCATATGTGAAGAACATCAGATAAATTTCTATATTAAATCTTTTTTATAGGTCACCTGATTGCTTTATGTCTAGATAGATTATATAATAGAAGACACACTGATTTTCTAATCTAATTTAGGTTTGTCAACTCTTGGAAGTACTATATTACCTATTTTATTGAGGCTCAGTTCTCTTCCAGAATTCTGGCTCATCTTCAAATTCTTCTTCTCCTAGTCTTCCCTGCTTAAGTATATTATGCTTTAAATATTTTATCCAAGCTCACATTTCTTATGGATTTGTCTTATAAATTTAGTTGCCACATCTTTGACAATTATTATCTTCAAAGTGGTGGACAATACAAGTATTTCTAAAGGTATGGAGATAATCACCATGGTTAGCTAAATCAGATACCCTTTAAAAGCATAAAGCAGGTAATAAAAGGATTTAAATTTTTTACCAAGTGTTTCATTTGGGTAGTCATTTGTTGGTCGCTTAAATTTGGTTGAGTAATTAAGAGAAGAAGGTGAGTAAGTCTGATGAAAGTTCCTGATTAATCAAATTCTGATCACCTGGACTAATTGTGACATTTAAACTTATATTCAGGTTTATCATGAGATCATTGGTCATCACACTTTTTTTGGTGGTTTTACTTGAACTAGATAGGAATCTGATTCCCACTACCATCCCTTCCTCTCACCTGCCAATTCAGAGGGGAAAGAAGTGAGGAAAGTTACGTGCTAGAGCCAGTGGTGGCGGAGGGACAGACTGGATCTCTACCCCCATACTTGGGAACTCTGGTATATGTATAAAATAGATTTTGAAAACTTTTATTATTGTACATTTGTTTCTAAGTTCAAATTTAAAACATTCACTTAAAGTTAATGAGAACAGTGAGGCAGTTCTAAGCAGATAAAAAATGAAGTTGCAGACTGTTGACATTGTTGCATTTTCATGATAGTCTCAGTCTAATTTATTTTCATGGGTTTTTAAAAATACAAAATTAAGAAAATCCTGATTTACATAGATCACTAGTTATAAGTAGTAATTTTAATAGTTCACCTTAAATCTCAAGATACTAAAGTTAAATTGATCTAGGTGCTTAAATTGAATAATTTGTATCAAAGTTCAGTTACTAAAACAAAATATTCACATTCCTTATTAAGTTATAAAAGTCAGATAAAGCACGCAAACTTAAGTGCTAAAACTACATTATCATTAGTATATAATACAACTGTTATTCACTTGTTATACAACATAGTAGGAGCATGTGCTGAGAACCCTGCCTGGTTTTCTTTACTTGTTGTTGTTGTTTTTGAGAATATTGCTTCTATGATTGAACCTTGCAGTTTTGCAGGTGATTTGAAGGGAGGAGAGATGTGAGGTAGATATAATTATGCTTTATTCATAGGATATAAGGAGGATTAAGTGAAATAATGCTGGCAAAGTCCTTACCATACTGCTTGCTAAGTGCTCAATAAATGGTAATGCATTTTTTCAACATTTAATAAATAATTGACTTAACAGAATTAGGTTGAGGGTCATAGGACAGCAGCCGAGTATTTGAGGTAGAAACAGCATTCTTCCTTAAAACAACTGTGGAAGAGCAAAGACTTAGGAGTAAAAAAAACAACTGTGTTCAAATCCCGTCCGCTACATAATGGCTGTTTTTAACACTATATAACCTCCTCTGTAAAAAGGGATAATATTTAACCTATTTGCAATTTATGAGAAAACTAGTTACCTGGTACAGGGTAGCATTTGACACATAGTAGGTTTTAATAAAAAATAGCTATTAAAGAGGAAGATAAGGACAGAACCAGGTTTAGCCTCGTTTACCTCCAGCTGGGTCAGGAGGAATAGATGTTGCTACAGTTAAGCAGAGGAAAATGTCTCTGTTTGGTGTGACTTAGGAAAATCTTTCTGACTGACTTTATTCTTGGGAGAGTTCCCTAAAGATATGTCATTGTTTTGACACCTTTATTAATCTTTATTAACCTGTTTCTTTCAATTCTTACTGTTGTGCCACATCTTTTCTTCTTCTATTACTCCTGCCTTTATTTGGTACCTGTTGTGCCAGTAATAGATTAAGGGGTGCTAAGGGAAGAAGCAACCTGAAAATGGTAACTTATTAGAGCGGCTAATATAAGTATCTATAACTTACAGTCAGTATTGCTCATGTGGTAGGGTAGAGGATGGGAAAATATTGGAGTCAAAAGAAACTTGAGTCAAAAATCAGTTTTAGTTGCAGTCTGTAGTCTGCCTGCTTAACAACTTCCTGTTTTCAAGTTAATATGTACAGCTTTAGTTTCTCTAGACTTAATGGTGATTTTTTTTTTTTTTATGTTGAGACTACTTCTGAATGGCTGTGAGGGTATAGCCTTAGATATGCGGGCTACTTTTAAGATTTTGGTTAAAACAAAAACATCCTCACCAATTTGATATTCCAGGGAGGAAATACCTGTTTCAGAAAGGTTTAAAGCTTCATCTTGGACTTCTTGTGAGAGTTCCTTATGTCTTCAGTAATCCAAAAATTTTTGTAGCTGTATTTTACATTCTTACTTATACATTCATGTAATAGACAAATCTCTGTATAATTTGATTTACATGGCATCTTTAAATTATTCCATGAAAAGCAGAAAAATATATAGTGTTATCCAAGCAAAGGCAAACTAACATATAAATTTTCTCTTTTTCTCTCTTCCTCCTCCTCTTTTGTTAAATAGGATAAGTTCTGAACGTAGAAAAGAAAAGTCTAGAGATGCAGCTAGATCTCGGAGAAGTAAAGAGTCCGAAGTTTTTTATGAGCTTGCTCATCAGTTGCCACTTCCCCATAATGTGAGCTCGCATCTTGATAAGGCTTCTGTTATGAGGCTTACCATCAGCTATTTGCGTGTAAGGAAACTTCTGGATGCTGGTGAGTTGTTTTACAAAAGTGTAATAGGCCTAAAAATTAGAAATTAGAAGTAATTAGAAGATGGTCATACTCAGTCCTTCTTTAATGTGATTTTTATTACCTGCTTTTAAAACTTCAATAAGGAATTTTTAAGATATTGGCCTTTCCCCCCTCTTCTCTTGCCCCAACTTCCTACTTGTCTTCCTTTTAATAACATGACCTTTCTTTCTCTTTTCAGTGGTTTGCTTGCTGTGCTACTTTAAATAATCATTAAAACAGCTGGCAAATCTAATTGTAATTTTCAAATAAAGTATCAGATATTTATAAAAATATCTAAATATTATCATTTAAGTATAACTTTTAAGTTAATTATTCTTCTTTTCTTGTGCCTTTTTTAGGTGATTTGGATATTGAAGATGAAATGAAGGCACAGATGAATTGCTTTTATTTGAAAGCCCTAGATGGTTTTGTTATGGTTCTCACAGATGATGGTGACATGATTTACATTTCTGATAATGTGAATAAATACATGGGATTGACTCAGGTAAAATACCCACATATTAAGAGCCCTTCTGTATGTTTTTATGATTTTATGATATAGATCTAATTTTTTTAATGTGTTTACAGTTTGAACTAACTGGACACAGTGTGTTTGATTTTACTCATCCATGTGACCATGAGGAAATGAGAGAAATGCTTACACACAGAAATGGTAAGAAGAAAAGTCTATTGTTTGATTTAATGTGACAGATTTTACATAATAAGATACTGGTACTAATATTTAAGTTTTGCTGTTGTATTAACCTAAGGCTCAAAACATCATTTCATGTTTAATAAAATTTTGCTCTGTTCTTTTTAAAATCTACGTTATTCTATTTTTTAGAAATTCCATGAAAATACCTAAAAAATTTTTTAAAGCCCACCTAATTCCATGAATAATTATATAGATATAATACCACATAAAATGGAAAAGTAAATAAAAATCAGGACCTTCAAAGAAGTCAATTTATAACATACAACTTTAAGGCCAGGGGAAGTCATAATCAAATAATAAGATTTTAGATAGTGATTACACTTAAGGTACCAGTGTGTGTTCAAGCTTTCTAAAGTACCAAGATAAAGAAAAGAGAAAGTTCACCAGATTTTTAAGAGCCTAATAGCTGCTTATTTGACCTCAGAATGTTCACAATTATTTGAGACTATGTAGTAAAATTACCAAGTATTATACTATGGATGCCCCCACATTAGCAACAATAAAAAAGATCTGCTAAGACCTCTTAACTCTTAGGAATGAATTGTTAAAAATAAGTCTCTAAGATTTTTGGAAAATACCTCTTGAATTACAAAAACTTAATTGCTAAAGAAAGTCTCTTCACACCTGTGCCATCTTAAAGTATACTGATAATTCATAAAGTTACCACAATGAAAATTTGTCATTATTCTCTGTAGCTCTCCAATTTAAGTGTATGTTTGTTTGCTTCTGTATTAAACTCAAGTTCATAGCACTTTTTGAATATTTTTATGGTTTTCTTTTTCATCTCATTTCATTTATGATAATAGTTAACCTCTATTGAGAGATTACTATGTGCCAGAACACTGTTCTCTGCATATTATGTGCTTTCTTTTTTCCTTGTAACATCCTGTGAAGTTACTATTTCTGTTTTACTGAGGAAACTGAGGCACAGAGTTATTAAGTAACTTACCCAAGATTACTTGGTTCATAAATGGCAGAGTGTAGGTTAAGCTCAGGTAGATGGGCTCGAGTCTACGCTCATTCGTACTCTGGAGATCTTTCATGTTCACCAACTCTCACTACATTCTGTGACCACTTTTAACCTTGCCAGTAGGAGCCCTCTTCTGTTTGTTCATTTCATACTTTGTGTTTGCTGTGAACTTGGAAAGCAAATGTATAATTTTTAGAATTTTGTATAAAGGAAGAGTAAATACACTTCACACAGGGACCTAAGCAGGCTGTCAATTAGTTTAATATAGGACTTCTAGTGTTTAGACTGAGGTTTGTACTGGCTGTTCAGTGCTTCCCTAGGGCTAGACTATGAATGGATGGATATTAGGAAATTTTGTTTTGATTTGGTAATCATGTTAATGCATTATTCTAAATCAAATATATTCTATATAATATAGTTTAGATAATATGTTTTTAAACAGATTTTTTCTAATTTTTTAGACAAATGGTTTTTTAAAGCACATGAACTTACTGAAAATCATTCCTAATGTAATGAATGTTTGACGTTTTGTTGAAAGACAAAAATGCACTTTTCACTTTTAGAAAAGGGCTGCTGCAATGTATCACATTTCAATAAGAACCAGTGGTGTGTTTATACAACATAGTCCTATTATTTTTTCTTTTAAATTCTAAAATGATGACTTAGAGGTCATTAAACTATTAAAAATATGATCTATTTCTAGAGGTCTGAAAATTTAGTTCTTTTAAAATGTTTTCTCCAATTAGGAAAATGCTAGTACCTTGGTTTTGAAATTAATCTTCATGTCCCAATTTAAAGGCTTTGGGTTTCCAAAGATCAGTACAATTCAAGCTTAGATTATGAAGGACTGAAAATCCACAGAGAATTTACAAGTAGATCTCTGCTGGCACCACAACCATAGCCCAGTTCTGTACCGCCACTGAGACCAGTATGGTTCTTGTGGCATCTTTTTAAAATCCATTCTCAAATGCTTCTAGGGAGGGCAAATTTAATCCTTATTTGAGTAAACCCAGATAATTTGTATCAGCACCAAAACCGCCCCCTTACCTAGTTCCGTTAGTATGTAGAACTAGAACTCTTCTTCTTGAACTCTTCTTCCTCAAGGGTCCAGCATTTCTAGCTAAGCAAGCCTAAATTTAAACTTAATATCTTGTTTCTTTTCAGGGGAGCCTGGGTGGGTCAGTTGGTTAAGTGCCTTCAGCCTAGGTCGTGATCCCGGGGTCCTGGGATTGAGCCCCACATCGGGTCCCTGTTCAGCAGGGAGCCTGCTTCTCCCTTTCCCTCTGCCTGCTGCTCCCCTCTGCTTGTGCTGTCTCTCTCTGTCAAATAAATAAATAAAATCTTAAAAGCAAAGCAAAACAAAACAAAAAATCTTGTTTCTTTTCTACTTGGCACTTTTCTTTCAATATACTAGCCTTAAAATCTCCAGATCTTTTTTTTTCTTTTTAAATTTCTCTCCTACCCACCTACTTCTATTAGTTTTCAAGTTTTTATAGATTCTAGTTCTTCATGCGTCTTTTGTCACCCTTCTTTTTACTTCTGCTACTGCTCAGCCCGATTACCATCATTGTATTTCAATTCTAATACATCATATATATTGCTTCTAGATTAACGTACTTTAAGTTCCTGATTGTGCTTCCCATCTCAGAATTTTTTAGAAGCTCCATGTTGTATATTTAAGGCTGAACTCCTCATTAGGCCATCCAGAGCCCTCCATTGTTACAGCCCTAATCTTGCCTTTCTATCTATCTCAGTACTCTTCTGCATGTACTTCATATTGCAGCAACCTGAACTATCTACTGTCCCCCGAATATGTGTTTTATTCCCCACCTCTGTGCTTTTCATTTTTTTCCTTTTCACCATTTCTTAGTTCTATAAGGTTTGGAATGGGAGTGAATAGACCTGAATTTATTTCACTCTAATTTTGCTTTGAAAAGTCATTCAGTATTTTTGTTTTGTTTTTTCCTCTAGTAACAAAGTAGAAATAATGTCATGCCTGCTTTACAGGAAGATTTAAAGAAAAATCAAATATATAAAAATGTTATTTGCTTTGAAAAGAAAGTTGCTATTTTAAAAGTTCTATAAATAGAGTGCTCAATTATCAATTGAGCTAACACATTTAGCAAAGGTTTGGAGGAGTTTGCTGAAGTTCTTTTTTTGGGGTGTGCTTGTAAACTGACAGCACAATTATATTTCTTTGTAATTTTGCCAACTTCACCGGCTTGAATGTGAAATGATTAACTGTTACCTGAAACCAGGGAATCACTGTAGTTGTGAATCCCAGTTACTGATTGAAGCATGTTAGATCCCTTGGACGTGTTGGAGTGTGAGTCGCTGTTCATGCTGAGACTTCTAATTGAAGATAGCACCTAAGTGCTACTCTTACTGTGACAAATTTAAATATTTAATTATGTTTTTAAATTTTATTTCATGCTTTCATTCATTAGGTCTTGTGAAAAAGGGTAAAGAGCAGAATACACAGCGAAGCTTTTTTCTCAGAATGAAGTGTACCCTAACTAGCCGGGGGAGAACTATGAACATAAAGTCAGCAACATGGAAAGTAAGTAAAAATGATTTGTAAGTGGTAATGTACATCTCAACACTGCAAATACTTAAGATAGCATTAGAACTGTGAGGGAAAACATACAGTTGTTCATTGGCATTTGCAGAGTTACCATATAAAACTAGTAATTTGTCAGTTTGAGGCATGAACTTAAATTATGTGAATTGTTGCACTGGTGTACCGAGCTAACTTCATCATTTGGCTTTGCCATCCACCCAATGTTGAATTTTGATAGAGCTTAATTTTCTATTTATTGTTGTTATATTTCTTTGCTCAGTGTTGAAACAGTCATCAAAGCAAGAAATAACAAAAGTAATAAATCAAACAGCCACTATGACTAGATGAATGAAAAATCAGCCCAGATTTGTCTGAAGGAAATTTTTTTAAAGAGTAATTTATGGTACCTGAGTCATGCGTGATGTTACAGGGGAAACATTTATTGATTTCAAAGATATGGTTATCAAAGCTTCCTTGCCATGTCACACTTCAGCTGTTTATCTCTGCATTTTTTTTACTAGAATTTTATATTTTTTAAAGAACTGCTTTGTTTTCTTTGTACACAGGTACTTCACTGCACAGGCCATATTCATGTCTACGATACCAATAGTAACCAATCTCAGTGTGGGTATAAGAAACCACCCATGACGTGCTTGGTGCTAATTTGTGAACCCATTCCTCATCCATCAAATATTGAAATTCCTTTAGATAGCAAGACTTTTCTCAGTCGTCACAGTCTGGATATGAAATTTTCTTATTGTGATGAAAGGTAAATGATATATAAGATATAATTTGAAATTTTAATTAGTCCCTAGCATTTTTTTTACTGTTCACTCTAATAAAGACTTTATGCTTCCTTCCACTAAGTTGAATACAGTGATACATTGTAGAACTCAGTAATATTACATTAACTTTGTAGATTAATTCAGCCACATTTATTGAATACTTACTATGCACTATGAGTACTTTACCAAGGTGCTATCCAGAAATCACAATGATGAGGTCTTTTTCCTTTCTAACTTATTTTAAAAAAATAAACATATTTCAAAGACAATGCATAATTTGAGGAAGAATAGATTACTTTTGGTTATGGACTAGAGAGGAAAGTGTTTGATCATCTCCTCACCCTACATATTGCCCATGATTTCTATTGCCATTTCCCAAATTTATGTTCATAACTATTTTTAATTGCCACTTTGATATTTTTATCTGGATATTCTTCTGTATTAATAAACTGAATATTTCTATGACTGAACTGCACCGCTATTGTCCCAAAACAACAACTTGAAAAATTGCTTTTCCTTTTAAAATGCTAGCATGGTTAGTATACCACTGTAGACACACAACTCCTGCAAAAATTTGGAATTTATCCTTAACTTTTATTTTCATTATCTGTACTCAGTTGGTCTCTAAATGTTACAGATTTACTATCTACATATATCTCTTGATCCATTTCCTCCTTTCTACCCTTGCGCTCCTGCCACTGAAATCTTCAGCTCGTTATTATAACCTTTGATTCAAATTTTTGCCATAATCTCCTAAGCTGCCTCTCTGCCAACAGATGTATGTAAGCCTTTTAATCTCTCATCCACATTCCCAAAAAGTGGACTTTCTAATGTAAAAATTAGATCCTGTCATACTACTTTTGGAAATGCCTCAATTGCTTCCCTTCATCTTTTTTTTTTTTTTT